GATGAAGAAGTGTTAAGCCACGGTTTGGTTAGGGTTGCGTCATGAAAACAAGGAGAAGTAATAGACACTAGACCGGGACGGAACCATGACGGAAATCGGGACCATGACGGGACTAGGGCGGTGTATCTTATGTATGAGATGTTATGCTCTGACCTCATACTCATTGTTCGCAGTTTGTGGTAGGGCTGGCTGGTTTGATTTAAGTAAGTAAGTAAGTATGTATGTATGTCAGTGAGCAGGCCAGATGGGAGGTGAGATAAGATGAGATGAGATGAAAGTGAAACAAAGGTAGCTAGGTCTCGATCGAATCATCTGTTTGTTTGTTTATTTGATATCGATCTATATGGAGTCAAACTCCATCTTGGTAGAGGGGTATTAGATGAGAGATAGCTTTTATTTCATATCTTGATTTACATTTAGATTTTAAGTCATACTCATGGTTTTATGGGGATGGGAGTGGGATGCTATTGGATAGGTACTTTGGGTATGTTGGTATATTTTCTAATCGAGCTTTGAGGTTTGGGTTGGGTTTGTTTTAGGTGTTTCGTCGGAAGGGGAGTGGGGTAGAATCTAGAATTCGGGCAGGATAATGGTTGGGGCTGTAGATGGATGGATATGTAGAGAAAGAAGAGGTGTGAAGATTTGGGTGGGAGACCTGGGACCTGGGACCTAGGACTTTATTCCTTTGACCATTTAATCATTTATTTGTTCGTTTATTTCTCTTTTATTACTCTTCTTTTGTCTCTTGGAATTGTACGTTTTGCTATAAAATTCTACTCTTTATTTACTTTTGTATATATTTGATATCCAAACCCTTCATTTGTTACATTTCATTTCATTTCACACGTTTCAAATAGTATTTCACTCACACCTTTCATCCTCATCGTCCCTAAGATAGAAATCCACTTCCAAACTCTTTCTTCATCACAATCATCATCATCACCATCTGCTCCCTCCCTTCCTCCCTTTAACTCATCTCTCCCTCAAACCCCAAAATTAATGCTCGAATCCCTCACCTCCTCTCTCACAACCTTCCTCCCAGACTTCCCAGATCTCCTCTCAATCTTCTATCTCGATCTCCTATTCCTTATTCTCTATTTCTGTTTTTGGCAACGCTAGATAGATAACCTGAGTTTTTCATCTTTGTCTTCTATTTTTGGAACTAGATTGAAAGGCTGAGTGCTTAGATATATTCTTGATTGATATTCTTGGATAGCTTTTTTTTTCTTCTCTTTTTTTATCGCGCTGGGGAATCATTGAAGAATAGTAAAGTGGATAAGTGGTTAAGTACTTAGGAGAAGAAGAAAGAAAAGAAGAATTAGAAGAGATGTTTCTCCGCTACTGCGTATATGTCGCTTTGACGCTTTATTTGCGGTTTCTTTAGTTGGATGGATGTTTCTCCTTTTCTGAATTTTTAGCGGGGGACGTCTTCTGTTGGTCATCTAATTACCATCAATTACGGATCTCACTCCCTCCCAGTTTAAATACTGGTTTTTGGACTTGGAGTTTCTTCATCGACTTGTTATTTTGAAGCTATTTTACAGCTATTTTATAGCTGTTTTCTCGGTTATTTCTGATTTCCTATTTCGTATTGCTTAATTTTTCTCGGTTGCAGGCAAGCGATTGGATTAGATATGTATTTTTGAGATAGCTGGCGATCGTAGATTCGGATTTCAGGGGGGTGTTTTCTGTAGTGTAGGCAATAGTATTTCTCGTAATTCGTATACGGGTTAGTTTAATTATGCGTATCGATTTTTTTCGAAATATATATATACATGATATGAAATTCAATACTGCTAATAAGATACAAAAATACGAATCTCTAATTGATATAGAATAAACCGAAATATATGAGTATAAGATTATCTTTAGATTTCAATGATATTAAATCCTATATTCAATCGAATTATTATTAATTGATGATAAATTATTAGTATTATTGAATATTATAATATTTTTAATGTCTTTAAATATAAATATCAATATTATATTATTTTCATAAATTTGAATGTTTTGAGAGTATTTTTTTTATGTAATGTACTTTACTTTCTTTATTCAATAATAGAATTTTATAAAAATTGAAAAATATAATATTTAAATATATTAGCATTCTAAATCTCAAACTTTTTATTAGTATAAAAGTTATTATAAAAATAGTTTTTTTGTAATGAAAATTATGACAATTTTGAAGAATTTTGAAATATAATAGAAATATTTATATTAAAATTAGATTTTAAAATTTGAAATTTTTATCTTCTGTTAATTTTTTAGTTTTTTTTTTGAAAAGAAATTGATTAGTTATTAAAATACAAATTTTTAAAAACAATTAATTTTGATATATTTTGAAATGATTCATTTAATAATAAACCAAATTAGACTTTATTAAGATTAGTTTTTATTTTTAATATTTTTATTTTATTTTTAGGTTTATATATTTTAGTTTTACTATATATCTTTATACATACTCATTTAAGTAATATATACAACAATAAGTTTGTATTTCTTCAATATAAATTATCTATTATATTAAAAGCTTTATACGCGCCATCGTTTTACTATAGTATACTATTGCCTACATTGGTTTTTTGATATGTTGTTTTTCTTCATATTTCATATTACTTTATTTACTCTCGCTACTTGAATGTCAGATCATTTATTTTCTATTCTTCTGTATTCTTCTCTTCTTTTTCCTCCCGTCACCGTCCCATCTTATCTCAAACACTCTCACATTTCTCAAGTTATCATACTTATCATACTCATCTCACTTTATCCTCTTATTCTCCTTGCCTCCTTCTCTTACCCTATTTCTTCCTTTTTATACACATTCCCAAACTATTTCGTCCATTACATTTACCCCATCTATTCTCTCTCACCCTTAATTTCCCCTTCCACTCCCCTAAAGCATCTCAAAACCAATCCGCACAATTTGATTCGCTAACTTATATTTACTGCTTAGATTCCGATACTAAATTCTTCAAAGGTTCAAATTTCTAGACCTGTTGTCTCATACAATCAACAAAACCTAGCTAGCTAGCCGGCATATTATCATTCTAGTCTTCATACTAAAATAATCATCATGATACCAATGATAATAATACTTTACCGATTCAATCAATAGTTCGAAGTAGTATGTGAAATCTTACAATGATGATTCATTTCGCTTCTATCAAAATCTCTTCGCTTAGGTGAAAAGAAGGGGGTAATGATTAGATCGTTTTGAGCATGGATTATAATACTTTATTAAAACCTTATCTAATATAACACTAAGTAACTACATCTAAAAGCTTAGAATTCTAATAAACGATCATATGGAGTTTTTTTACTGTGTATTATTACTCTTTTTGAATATCTAAACGCAATTGAATAACCCTAGACATCAGGCGAATAGAGTACACTTAGCGAGAAAGCTAGCCTCTAGGCATAAGGATTGATTTTTCCTCTGTAAAGCTAGCTCTCTTGATTTAACCTATTATCGATAATCAGGACCTAAAAAGTAGGTACTGCGTCATCTGTAACAATAATCATTCACTAGGTCGAGTAGATTGATTTGAACTGATAGGTGGTCGTGAGTTGATGAGATTGATCGGTCTCGGTGGGCGAGGGAGGGGGTTTGCCTTGTTTCGTTGCTGGGTTTTTGATGTAAATTGTTTCATACACTTGTCAATGAGAAGGCTCTAGTAGAGGTCGTAATCTATGATTATTTCAGATCCATACTGCTCGAGGATTTCAGCTCCTAACACCAATCTGGAGCGGCTTGATGCAACAACTCATACATTTTCTATTGATGCAGATATCGACCATCAAGGTCAATGCTCGCAATGACCGTGGAAATGACACGCTGTAGAATTTGCCACTACCATACGGGATCCGAGTGTCGTGTATACAGACGTTACATCGGGTGGAGAGGGAAGTGGCGATTCAAAAGGGGGTTCTTTTCATAGATTGGCTGGCCAAGTGAGTCAGGTATGAAGAGATCGTCTTCTGTGCCGTTTTCATGGTAAACACAATACAACTCTTTTTCTACATGTAGTATTCAGCCGTCTCTTCATTTGTGCGGGTATCTTCCACGTAGTCGTGGCGTGTACTGTACACCGGGATATGAAAAAGCTGAGACACTACAGAATATAGAACAGCAATCACCAAAATGTATTAACCATGCAAGTTTCAATATCTTGTCATTCTATAGGTACAGGAAATTTTCAGTTCGGGTTCGGTATTAGAATATTGATTCGTTGAAGCGATGTCGAATATAAAACGAGGTGATGATAAACTAGCAGGCTACTACTAGCTCCTGCCCCAGCTGCAGTATCCACAACTAATCATCCTTAGAGAGACCATGTTCAACTACCGCTTATATGGGTTATTTCCCCACTTCAGTTCCCAAAGTGTTCATTTGATTATTTGCTACTATCATCGAGAACTGCACTAGAGGTTGTTCTACCCGGCATCTTTCCCGAGGCTTCATGTTCGCTCGAAGAATTCTTTTAGCATTTGTAGTAGTAGTACTGATTCAACAATCGATTCAATCTATCTATAGCTAATGCTAAGTTGACTACGGGATGCGCCTACGGGTGTTCAGCATTTGTATCAATCCAAATTCTCATCAGTTATTCAAAAATTTCAGACTTTCATGCTTTGTATTATAGGATTTCAAAGACTATCTGAAAGAAGAACCATCCGAAGCACCTACTCCCGCTGAGGCTGATGGGTGTAGATAGAGTGGCGAGTGGGGCGCTGAGTGGGGGACACTCGAAGGTCTACGACCATATATTCTTGGTACATTGGTTCTTCCGTCTGCATGGAGCCAGGGTAAGCTCAGCTCATGCGTATCCTGCCAAATATGGAAATTCCTTCGCAACAAATTCCCATAATGACTTGATGGCGAGTGTGAACCACATATAATGATACGACATTGTTTAAAATTAATTTCTGAACTTCTGTTTCTCATCAAAGCATTTTATTCCTGATGGTTGTGCTCCATAAGGACACTTCGAATTATTATGGAAGCCATAACTACATCACATGACGACGATTTGTCCAAATCAGAGCCCACTCAGGGAAACAGCAACAATGCCTTTCCCGAATTAATCGTCAGTCTTTCCTCAGACCCAGGTGGTTCCATAGCGGATCTTCTCGTAAAGACGATGAAAGAAAACGACCTCAATGAACTGAGAAGACTTTTAAACTCCAAGGTTGATTTGCTTGCGATACCTATAACTACAAAAGTCATACATGATGATAGTGAGATATTCCTCGACCTCGCCTTGATTCAATGGGCTGCGGGGTTTAGTAAACCTTCAATCATCAATCTTCTTTTAGAATATGGCGCTAAAGTGGACGAGAAGATTCCTATGATTGGCGGAACCGCACTGCATCTAGCATCTCGATATGGTTCTAAAAACAACATAGATGTACTCCTTTCTCAAAAGCTGGATATAAACCAAAAAGATCTTGATGGAAGAACTCCATTACATTTGGCATCATTATATGACAGAGAGGAGAATGTGGAGTATCTTCTGGACACAGGCGCCGACTATAGCCAGCTTGACAATTATAACAATATGGCAATTCATTATGCTGCTTCGTTTGGCGAGCTTGAAATTCTCAAAAATCTTTACAGACGAGGTTCACTTAGATATATCAATGAGTCAAATTTTTATCACAATGCACCACTGCATCTAGCAAGTATATATGGCCATGTCAATGCTGTAAAATGGCTTGTAGGAAAGGGAGCAGCAATTAATCAGCCAGGAATAGGAGGAGACACTCCGTTGCACCTAGCCACTGCCAGGGGTCATGTCGAAATTGTCAGGGAACTTTTGAACAACGAGGCGGATATTCACAAAAGGAATGAAAGTTCCTATTCCCCAATTCTAATCGCGTCTGAAAATGGTCATATAAAGATCTTCATGGAACTAAAAACATCAGGTGCATTTCTCTCGGATATAGGCGCGCGAGATAATGGTACTTGCTACCACAGAGTCATATCGTGTTCCCAGGAATTTTCACGCGACCACAACACCATCATAGACCGTTTGGTAGGTGAAGGTGTAGATATCAACCAACTGAATGCTCATGGCTATTCACCTTTATTTCTTGCATGTATAAAGCAAAAGCTCGAACATGCCCAGTGCCTCCTGAAGTATGGTGCCAACGTCAACCAAATGGGGCCTCGAAAAAATCTGACTCCTTTGATGGAGGCTTGCTGTCTTCCTGCCGGTGGCATAGTCGAATTGCTCCTGCGGCATAATGCTGATACAGCAATAGAGAGCAGTCATGGGATGACTGCCTTTGCTTACGCCGTCTCCCACAATCATCTTGCACACGTCAAGCTTCTTATACAGAATAATGCCAACGTCACATGTCCTGATCATCGAGGGATCACACCTCTTCACATTGCCGTTTTGTACGAAAAGAATATTGATATTGCGCTCGAAATTCTGGCTGCGAAACAATACTACCCCGAGAGTCCATCCGCGGAATACTCTTACATTAAAAGCACTTTTGAGATTCGTGAAATCGAGATGGGATTACTACAAGGCTTTAAAAACTCCAAGTATGAGACACTGGAGCAGCTTCACATCATCATGTATTGGGCAGTCTCTAATGGCGCAAAAGATTTGGCTAACCGGTGCATTGATAATGATCGACGAGTACTGCGCTGGACCAGAGAAGGAGCTACATGGCTTCACATAAGCGCTAAAAGTGGTATGGTCGAAATTGCACAACTCCTCTTAGGAGAAATGACGATGCTATCAGACGCACCGGATCAGCCATTAGGGTGGGCGGCAGTTGCTTTGATCATACAGCAAAATAGTCGAGGGGACTCGCCATTGGCTATAGCCATTGGAAAAGGGCATGATCAAGTAGAGGACTTGTTTTGGTCCCAAATCGAACAACTTCGAATCACCGAAAAAAGATTGATGAAGTCTTATCCAGATATTGCAGCTCAGATTCTCGAGTTTCTAGCTCGACATGAAGAGCCCGGGAATGAAGAGATACTCAAAGAATTTTTGAGGTCCGATGATAAGAGCAATGCCAGAGACTCGGAAGTTTTTACAGCTCTCCAGTGGGCAGTTTGTCGATCCAAGGCAGTGATTGTATGGTGGTTGTTGTCGAAGGGCGGTTACTCGTCTGACAAGATCAACAGCGCCTTGAAGCTTGTTGTTGAAAATACAGACAAACAATCTAAAACCATAAAGGAATTGCTCCGGGATCCTCCGCCAACTCTCGATCATGTCTCAAATCCGAACAAGAAGCATAAGCGCAAGTTTACAAAGTCCGCAAATAGCATTCGTTTCAAGAAATATCAGGGGAGCATTGTTGATATTCTTCCTGGTGCAGAACCAAAACGTATTAAATATGCCCCCTCAAGTGTTCAAGACCTGATTTACGATATTGGCCCAGAGAATATAATGAGAGAAGCCGGAGATTTAAGTCAGCGCCATTTAGCGTTACTGAAGGAGACCCAAAAGAAAGATTGCGGGCATTTCTCAAACAGGATTGGTGTTCAGACGAAAGACTCTCCGAGTCTGGATTCAACTTCACCCCAACATGAAGAACTTGGTAATGAGGAACCTTCAAGCAGCAGCCTGCGTGAGTTTGATCTTCGCTGGATTCATCTTCCTGTTAACGAGGTAAGACTTTCTGAATTTGCATGTGCGTTGAGTTTTGGAGCGACGCTGATAAATGATTGATAGTTGCATCTAATGCGAGTGAGTCTTATCATGATTCCATTCTTGCCACAGAAACCTGATAATATTCTTCTTAGGACCTTGTAAGTCGGCTATCAAGTGATTCGGGAAGATCTGAGAGAGAACATATGGCTATTATGAAACACTTCAACAAAAGCTGGACAGAGCTGGCTGCAGGCGCAGAACGTTATTACATGAAACCCCAATTTGTGGTATGCAATAAAGAATCAAAGTTAAGATAGAGATGAGAGCTTACCATCTTTGCATTTAAAGCGCAAGCAGGAAGCTAGCCATTACCATTCAATCAATGATCTTGATGGCGAGCAAGCACCAAGAGAAATCACCGCCGGCGCTTGCGCGGCACTTTACGTAGGCGGCTGCCCAATTTTCTGCTTGGATAGAAATGTAAGATACTGACCATTTTCCATTAAAGATGCCATATTTAGACATAGGGACCTTTCCTGGCAAAGGGGATAAGTCTTCAACGACTGAATCTCCCGCTGTGCTTGACGAGTCTATCAACGAGCGTAACTCGAGAGCCGTTAAACATTTGCCGATGACTCTCGACCAATATTACTATCCAACGATTGAAGATACTTCAAAAAGAGATAATGATCAAGTGCTGTCAAAATTCTTGCAAAAGAAATCGGGACAATCTAAAGGTACCGCCGCATTCTTGTCGAAAATAAGTATGGAAAAATCGATTTAGTTTGAAGCTAACACTTACTAGACAAAAAAATACTCATGGTAAACCAGCTTTGGATTTGGATTATCGACAAAAGTATTTTGAAAAATTCCGAATTGCAATTACAAACAAGCGTGTGATTCAGCTGACCTTGCTTCAGAAACCATCATTACGGCCACGACTCAAAAATTCGATAAATCTTCCAAGGAAAAAAATAGCGAAGCAGACCGAGAACCTCCAGAGAGCCTCCTCCAGAATGCATTGGATAACATACTTCACGGCGAGACCAAAAGTCAATTTGAACGGACAAGAACAGTCGATTCCCTGATGGAGCTTCTTCTTGGTGTTGCATCAGGGCTCTTCATAAAACGATTTGTCCCTGTTTCTGATCAAATCTACAAGGGGCCGATTGAAATATTTCGAGAGTCAATTAGAGATGTGGTATGTTACTGTACTCAGATGAAATTGCCCAATCTTCAAACTAATAAATTTGATTAGGCTGAGAAAGAATCTTCGCTTTTCCAAGAATTTCTTGAAGGTCTCCAGGAAGCAAAGCCTCGGGGACCAGAGCAAAAGAAAAGACAGCCTTCCAGTGAAGAGTCTGACTCCAAGTCATCGGATAGACCAATTCCTTTAAATCGCTATCATGTTATTTCATCTGAAACCGAACTTCTCAACATGATACGAGATATCCGTGACGAGCTTCATATGCTCAGATCTCTAGCGGAGGACCAAGAAATTGTTTGGAAGCAGGCCTTTGCTTCCAGTGACCTCATGCACTTCAAGGCTTACACTCCCACTAATGTCAAGAAAGATCTGGATGATATGCTTTCTGAAGCAGATAAAACAGAGGGTTATGTAAGTGGGATACAAAAGATAACATAAGTTGAATTTTTAGCTGACATAAAACAAAGATCAACACTCTGCTCGACCTACGACAAGCGGAATTCGGCAGATTACAAGCATACGATTCAGCCAGGCAGTCCAACAGTATCTTCATATTTACTATCATGACCATTGTATTTGTGAGTCTTGGTTGACCATCATTAGAGAGATGTGAATACTAGCAAAGCTAATGACTATCCTTTAAACTCAGCTTCCTCTCTCATTCTTAACGTCTCTCTTCGCGCTAAACGTATCCGATTTTCCCCACGAAGGGGACAACGTGCAATATAAGGCGCGGTGGATATTTCCTATCATCTGCGAGTATTCCTGAGACCGAGAAATTCAATAGCTGACATGATGATTAGTTGGTGTCACCGCACTTGTCTCTGTTCCCGCTACCATCTTCGCGTGGAAAGTCAACGCCATTTCTAGCTTTCGACCACGAAATAATATTGCCAGTCAAAGTTCGAAGCATACTGATGCTATAAAGGGAGCTTTGAGTAGAGTAAGAAGGAGAGGTAGGAAACAGCATGATATCGAGGCAAAATAATGGGAAGTGGGCATGATATATACGCATAAGCTGGGAAACATATTGATGGAATTTTTTTTAAACATATAAACGAATTCTCATTTTCATTTGCCCGAAATTCCGAATTGTAACGGTTAAAATATATACACGAACACATTTTCCTCCTGGATTGAGTGTACCCACTGCTGCTTTCTTTCAAATGGACTAGCGATGTATGCACTTGCGATGACTGTAATAACATCAAGTAGCTTGACTAGCAAGAGAATGCTGCATTATATATATGAGCGGCAATTCCACCATTCCCAATAAAGCACGATTTTCGCGATGATTTCATTTGATTTCGGGGAGATCAGCAAGTATTGGGCAGGAAAGATGTGTCAGCGCGGACGACAAATCTTCTCCGGAAAAGTTTCTGATACAGAGGAGGGCAACTGTTGTTTGGAAAGACTATCTGCATTAACGTCACGAGTTGAAGGGATGATCTGTTTCATCGATCAGGTAGATGAGCAGGTATACAAAGTCATTAAAGTATCCACATATCATATCCCACCTTAACATTTACTCATAAGAAGCAGACGTGCGAGGAAGACAGTTGGCGCACTACAGGAATTCGATGCGCGACTACCAGAAACTAATAACTGTTTTCCGTGACTTTGGGCCCGAGAAATTGTGGTTTCAAAGGACGCGAGTATAGCTTCCGTCTTCTCAGCCTATGGTCATACACAGCTGAATACATGCATATCTACTACTTATTGACCTCCGTAGCATAATTCTCGTCTTTCTTTTCTTCGTCCGCATATCTTCATCCATCACCAACCCGGAAATTCTTCATCTACTCTTCCATCTCACCCTGCCCACCCAATCCACAAACTTCTGCACATCCTCCCTCTCCCCCAGTAACTCCACCGTATAATACTCCTTAGCCAACTCCTCATGCCCCGCAACGCGATGCACAAAACTATGACACGCTCTGCAAAACCACGCTACATTGTTTAATTCTTCCTCTGTATGCCAACCGCGTTTTAAGACTTTAGCATGCACGAATTTGGGAATGAGATGGTGGTAGGTGAGAGGGATCCAATCGCGGTCGCAGAGCTCGCAGGCGGTGGTAACGGCGCGGAGGGCTTGGGGTGTTGGGGGCGGAGAAAGGAGATGCGAGAAGTAGGTGGAGAGGGGTGTGTGCAGAAATGAGGAGAGAGATATACAGGGGGGAAGCAGGGAGTAGGTATGCAGTGAATCGGAGATGCTAGGGGGGAGAGAATCGGTGAGGAGAGTTGAGGTTTCGAAATCGAGGGGGTGGAGAGAGGGATATTTCCTTTGGAGAGAGGGATCGTGGGTGTAGCTTGTGTATGATAAGGTTCGGAGATCGGATGGGAGATGTGTGAATATTTCTAGAGCGATGTACTGAGTGTATATATATTAATATTCATTTACTTTGGAAAGGCTCTCATTTATATATATAAAGGAAAGCGTACTTCGATAAACTCCGCCAGCTCCGCTGCATCGTTGATTTTGGTTTCTTCTACATCGATCTCTTTCGATAGAGGTTTGATCGCTGTTTTCCTCCCCGCTTTAGCTTTCCTCGTTTTCCGTTTCGATGTATTTGGCTCCGAGGTAGATGTACATTGTTCGATTAAGGGTGTAGAGATACAATCTAGAAAGATGCGAAAATTGGGTTCTTCGGTGGTGTCGATCATGAGGCGTGGAATTTATCGCCGATGTTGATGGTAAGGCTGGAGGGGGAAATGAAGGGGTAAAGGCTCGTTAGTTTGTGATTCCGTAACTCCATGTGAAAGCTGATAATATGCAGTTTTGTTAACATGGTGATGTTTATGTTAATTGAAACCCCGAACGCCACCATCGATGAAATCATGACGGTGAGATGCAGTGGTGGAGATGATTAGTGCTGCCAAGTATTGAGCTGGAGCCACTATGATGTGCAGTGTATTGGGTCGTCCCGCAGTAAATATTGTAATTTTAGGCTTTCGGTACCAAGCGAAATCTTTTGGTGTTGATAGCCGGGTAATATAGAACCTTACCCCGCAATGATGTTCTCATTGGAGCTTATCATTAATGAATAACAAACTTTGCGGATATATTTCTTCAATAATCTCAAATATATATAATTGAATACCAAATATTATCTTACAGCCCAGTAAGTTGTCACTTGATATTGTTGAATGAGCAGGACGAGTTCTGATTTTATTAGGTATATACACAATCATGTCGGACAAGAAAACGATCATAGCCTTCGATCTCTACGGTACTCTCCTCTCCACCGAAAGTATTGCAAAAGAATTGGCTCGTCATTTTGGCGATGAGAAAGCACAATCAGTTGCTACACTATGGAGGAGATATGTATGTAACGATCCAGTGTTTCTTGTCAATCGGTGCAACTCGTCTGATACGTGGACATAGCAATTAGAATATACTTTCCGGATGAACAGCATGTGTAAGTTTTCTTTGCTTCCCGATTCAGGTCCCCATCTTGAATTTTCTCCACAATGCAACGAGGGAAAAATACAAGCAACAAAGTATTAGATAGCTAACAGTAATCATAGTACTATATAAACCCTTCTCAGAAATCACAAATACATCGCTTCGTCACGCAATATCCGAACATAAACTTGCTCTGTCTGAAACAGATATTGAGAGTGTAATGAAAGCATACGATTCTCTCTCCGCCTTTCCAGACGCTTTAACCGGACTCGAAAACCTGGCCAAAGATTCAGGAACTAATGCTTATGTATTTTCAAACGGGACAAATAAAATGGTCTCTTCATCTGTCAATAACTCTTCAGAGCTCTCAAAGTTCAAAGACCTCTTTAAAGAGCTTATTACGGTGGAAGAGGTGGAATACTATAAGCCCCATCCGAAAGTATATGAACATTTGGTCAGAAAGGTGAGAGGTGGTGTTGGAGAAAAGGATTGCGAGAATGTGTGGCTTGTCAGTGGGAATCCGTTTGATGTTGTAGGTGCAAGGCAAGCGGGCTTGATGACTTGTTGGGTGGATAGAAGTAAAGGGGGTTGGAATGATATGTTGGGCGATTTAGCAAGTGGGGGACCGCATCTGATTGTTGAGGGGGTAGATGCTGCTGTGAGGGAGATTCAGAGAGTGTCTAAGGATTAGTGAGGAGTGTATACCGAAGCTCTAGCTAAACTTTGGTAGTTGTATGCTTGTACACTAGGTGTGAGGTAGAATTTGTTACAGATTGTAATCTTACATGTATGGATTATCTGTCGAAGGAAATGAAATGGGCAAGTCGAGAAGGGAAAGAGGGAAGAAACTTCACATTTTTGATCCAAATTCCCTAGGTAAAATAATTGAAATAAGTCAATCGCCAGCTTTCCTTAAAACGAATTCTGTAGAAAGCAACAAACGGTTTTTTCGTCCTACCTAGGTAGGATGTGTTTCCGATGCACAGCCACATATCACACGTGGCGGTGCAATATAGCTTAGCTTACCTAGGTAGTTCTTTCCACTGTCTGCTCCGCAATATCAGGTTTCTTGCCTTGAAGAACTTGAAAGCTGTTCAATGCCATATACTTTGATAACTGAAGTCAGAACTACATGAAGATGTAGGAAGGGAAGATGTAACTTTTCGAGTCAAGGTATTTGTCAAGAGGTTCTTGTTATCGTGGAAGGTGAGTGGGTAGTTCCTGAGTCGGTAGGCAGTTGGCGAAGGTAGTGGCTAGGTAGCTAATGACTAGAATTAGGTGGTGTACTTGGCTGTGGTAGGGATAAAGGAAGCGGACTGGCCCGCGCAGTGCTACTAGCTCTGCATGTGAGGTATCACTGATCTCTAGATCCAAGGATTATTTCTTACACCATTTGCGACACGCCAACGACTAAGTCAACTACCCCACTTTCCGACCACCCCCTCTTTTCGACCACCTCAAAAACCACACCGCTTTGAGTAATTATAAAATTTATACTTTGAATAACTCAACAATGCTTTAATCAATTGATTTGAAATTTTGATATTATTATAATTGTGATATGAAGAATAGTTATACCGAAGAAGATATCGCAGAGGCTCTTAGAGCGATTACAAATGGAGCAAGCATACGAAGAGCTAGCTTGGATTATGGTGTTCCACGTACCACACTTCACGATCGAATATATGGTGGAGTTTCGCATCAAAAAGGCGCCCAAATACTTCAAAAGTTATCTCCAATTCAGGAGAATCGACTAGCAGAATGGATATTAGTACAGGAAGCTCTTGGTACTAGCCCTACACATCGTCAAATCAGAGAGATGGCAGAGCACCTCCTTATTGTACGAGGGGAGGATCCCTCACTTGGAAAGAAATGGATACATAGCTTTTTTCGAAGGCATCCTAATATTGGAACTAAGAAGCAACATCAAATCGATTCTGCACGAGTTTCAGGTGCTACATCTGATATTATTAAGAAGTGGTTCCGGAACCTCGCAATCCCTGAAATCAAGGCTATTAAGCCGGCCAACAGATGGAATATGGATGAAGCAGGTATAATGGAGGGTCAGGGTCTTAATGGACTAGTAGTAGGAAGCACTGATCGAAGATTTATTCAAAAAAAGCAACCTGGATCTCGAATTTGGACCTCTTTTATAGAATGCATTTCAGCCAATGGAAAAAGCATTACTCCCCTTGTAATATATAAGGGAAAATCAGTTCAACAACAATGGTTTCCAACAGATTTGACTCTATTCAAGGGTTGGAACTTTACCGCTACAGAAAATGGATGGACTACAGATGCTACAGCTTTAGAATGGCTGAAAAAGATCTATATCCCTCAAACTACCCCTATTCAGCCGGAAAATTCAAGACTCCTCATTTTGGACGGACACGGAAGCCATGAAACTACAGCATTTATGTTAGAATGCTTTAATAACAACATATATCTCTTATTTCTCCCACCACATACGTCACACGTACTACAACCACTCGATTTATCTGTGTTCTCACCCCTAAAAAGTGCATATCGAATCGAACTTAATAAATTAAGTCTATTATCCGATTCCTCACCAATTGGAAAGCGCAATTTCCTTTCTTGCTATCAGAAGGCTAGAATAGAAGGTTTAACTATTCAAAATATCAAGTCTGGGTGGCAAGCTAGTGGTCTTTGGCCCAAAAATATGGCTAAACCTCTTATGAGTCGACTTTTGCTTGAAAATAGCAATAGAGAGGTTTTATCACTTAATCCTGAATCTGATGATGATCCTATTCTTCAATGGAATATATATTCATCGTTTATTCAATGGAAAACCCCTCAAAAAGGAGCCGATATCAGAAAATATAGAGATATAATGATTCAAGAGAAGGAGATCGATTTGCCAACACGAAGATTACTATTTCGCAAGATTATAAAAGGATTCGATGCTAAGGATTATGAACTCTTAGAGGCAGAGAATAAGATTAGAAAGCTAGAATATCAATTAGATGAAGCATTACCTAGAAAAAGGCGAAAGGTTGTGGTATCTCCAAATTCGAAGTTCGCAGGGATTAGAGCTATAAGGCGTACACAAATTGAAGCTGGAGATCGTGAAGATGAGGTAGATGGTAGCTCTAGTGCTATAGAAAGTGATTCTACAGGCGATTTCATTGAAGTTCAATAGTTATTGAGTTATTAAAGTTTTAAGTGTAGATAATATGAATTTTTTAGGTGGTCGGAAACAGGGGGTGGTCGGAAAGTGGGGGTAGTTGACTTTATCTGTCCTTTCTAACTTTGTCTTCAATATTTCATTTTCTAGAGAGCATCTTCACATGTGTACTCAGTGTTTACGTCAAGAATTAACAGACTGTGTGATTGATTTAGAAATGCAATTTATCTTTTTTCAAATAGAAGTACAAGCAGTTCTCTTTCTCAGTCGGTCACCTTCCAACTTTTGGGTAAAATTCTCTCTGGCTCCTTTGACCACGCTAGCAAGGCATCGAAATCGTTACAAACGTGCATTACTCCATGATCAGCCACGCGATGGGGATCGCCATCAATGTGTCCTTCGGCAGTAGAATCAGCGAAGCACATCAAAGCCTGCCGGACGTAGTTGAAACAATGCGCCTTGTGCTCTTCCCATGTCAACGTTACGCCACTGTGGTAGCCCGGCAGTTTTTCTTTGGGGATTCCGGCAGCCAGAAGGCCAAAGTCCTCAAGTATAGATGTCTGTCAATGGAGGTTAGAAGTCTGAATTGAAGTCTCGGGAACAGGAAAATGGCCTACTAGACAATGCATTTGATGAAAAGCGGCAATTTCAAACAGATCTCCTGCAAACAGCTTTTGAGGTCCGCTGCCATCATACGGCGTGGCTCGTACAAAGGCTATAGATCTCTCATTTAGACATTTTCAACACGTTGGATAACTTTCAGGGAGCTTCTTACCATGAGAAAGACCTTGCCACGAGCTAAGAGTTTGATTGAACAGACCTCGGTCATTGAATGCATCAGCAGCTAGCTGGTATTGATCTGGACCAGAGGGTTTGGGTATACCCCTTGAGCTAACATCTGTTTTTGAAATCAGTGACATTTGAGAGATTGGGATAGACAAGAAGGCAAGGGAGACTTACCATGGGGTACGAAGTGATTGTAGTCACTTCCTGCCGGCCAAATCTGATTACCACAGGCACCCGCTTTCCTGGTGTCATTCCTCAAAATAAGACCAGTTGTAATAAGAAGGCAGACAATGAGAATGATCTCTAGACAAAAACGAAATATCTGTATGCGGGAAAAGAAAGTTTCATGACCGGAGATGCGTTTAATTCTGCTAGTGAATGATGCATCGTCTGTATCATCGTCTGACGACGAAGTGCGTCCAATTAGCTTGTTTTGTTCCATGAGAGCAAATGAAGCAGTACTAAAAGTGCTTTTGACAAAGATTGAAAGCAGAGAGAAGAGAAGTAAATGGCATGGTGTGGAGTTCTTTTGAGAGCGTCAATAGGTAGTACAGGTCCTTGTGTTCATACATGACCCAGCAAATTGGCAGTAATCAAGGATTCTATCTTTTTCTGCCCGCGTAAGCTTCCTTAGCAAGCCTAGAAAGCTATTGACCGAAAGTAGAGTACACCATCCCTTGTCCCTCGGATGTTGATATCCGATCTGATAGCTGTTTGTCCGCATGTCCACATGCAAAACAACTTTCTTTCGGTTTGATAACTCTGGGATGCTTAAATTGCTCGGGGAAAGTTGCAGCGAGGCCCAATTGTATGGAATCTTTCGAAAGTTGGCCAAATGGAGGCTGGGTAGAGGGCCTGCATACCGTTGTAGACCGTACTATTCCTCCCCACAATGAAGGTTTATTTTTGAGTGTTCCCAAGCAAAGAAGAGTGGGGCATTTATTTAACAGGCTCGCGATCACCGAGCACAAAGTATCAAGTACGAGGGCGTGTTTTTCATGAACGATTTGTAAGCGAGAATATCTATAAAAAATCTCGTCTTATACAAACTAGTATTATAATATATTATTCATTCCAAATCTCTAAACTACATAGATCTTATGATATTTTATAAGCATCTCAATATATTCAAAGTAAAATAAATAGATTATATTGAATAGTTAATTTATAATTCAATTATTAAATAGAAATAAGATCTTTTATTGATAATTTCCTTGTGAGTAGCTTTTATTAGAAACCAGCCCTTGTACTTTGATTTGAATTACTATACTCGATTTAATAATATAGTTCTAAGCCCTCAAATTTCAGTGTTTTATATAACAACTTTATTAAATAGAGTCTAATTCAATTAGAAATTAGATCAAATGATAGATGATAAGTGATTTTGTTATTAATATAATATCAACTTATTTTAAATCCTTACTGATTAAATTGGAAATTTCAAGACAAAAACTAGAAAACACCTTGGAAACACATTAAATTTTGATCTTATATATTCGATTTTTGATTTATTTATCTCTAATTCAATAAGAATCTTTCTAGAATATCTGAAAATTAATATATTAACTTATCCAATTGAAATATTAAATATTTCGAAGAATTTGTTTGATTTGAAAACACATTAATGAAATTAAGAATAGTTGAATTGAATTTTCTATTTGAAAGAATTGATGAGGCACAAAATTCGCTTTTTTTCTGGAAACGAGTTAAGGTTATTGATCGGGTGTATGCACGAAAAAGCTAAACGTACAAAGAGACCTTGAGAATGGGATAACGGCCTTCTCTGTGGATACACTTCGTATATGGCATGACTAAACGTCTCGACGTGTCCAGATATTCAACCCCACCTTCTTCCCGCCCAGGGCGGGGAGGCCAGCATGTAGCGTGCGCGTATCCCCAGTTCCATTGGAATGGAGATTCTTCCAAAACACAGCACTGCCGACGACCCCACGTACTGTTAACTCGTCGATAGCCTTGCAATCAACAAAATTGCACCACCTCTGATCCTCGGCGTCCCAGTCTACTGAGATCTTGGGAAAACGAGTCCCACAGCTGGAGCACTCCACATCAAGCACGGCAAAAAAAGTGGTCTCCCTATTCGTTGTTTGATTCCTCGCGGCAGGGTTAATTGCCCAATCGTAGTGATTCGTATACTGCTGTCCTTCTAGATATCGCGTTACTTGCAGGTTCTCCATCATTTCAAGGTCGACGTAACCCTGGTACTCTGAAGCTCTGGACCTAATGCATTGGACGACAGGATCGTCCGAAGGCAAATATGCAGTGGAACTGGTTCGCTCATGTGAAGCTACAACCCGTCCATCAGTTTCGATGGCACGGGAGGGTCGGAACTTAGAATGTCTGCACGACTTGTTAACACTATTATTTGGATTTACCATCGATACCATAACTTACGCGATCTGGAGCAGGTGAGAAGCCTCTCGAGGAGTGATAAAATTCTCAATGTGTTGGATAAGTGGATCATATGACAAGGTGCGGACTACATATCGTGGTTGTGAGCAGGAGTTTCCGGCCAAGAAGCCAGGTACTGTTGTGAATCGTGAAACAGCGGAAAATACTGCAGCAAGAAGAGCCACGATGAAAGAGATGTAGAAGATCTGCTTGAGAGCCATTTTGTATAAAGAAGAGTGCGCCAAAAAGAAAAAGGCCTAGAGAAAATTCCGAATAGGAAGCACGAAGATTTGAAACACTTTTGTGACAGGGTAATAGACCAGACATTTGACCCGCCTTTATATGCTCGATGGTAACAAAATATCACAAGACAAGACATGCCAACAATGACATACGCCAAAAATTGTCAAGAATTAAAGTTTGCCAACATTGAAACAGTTTTATGGGGTTTTAATAATGTTGAATTTTCGTCGGCAGCGGGAGAAATAATTATGCTAAGAAGTCAAAGTGGAGCAGCACTACTTTTTGAGTCGATCCTTCGGACCCTGTTTCCGACAGCATGGCACTATCTTTGACCCCTTGCATATCAGAAGGGGTGTGTGAATTTCCCTCTTATGGCAGTATCCCGGAACGCCTTGATTTTTCTTAGTGTGATATGAGGATGATAAAGTTTGTACGATGATAACCTCATATAGCAACATTCCATGTGTTGTTGATACCTCGACTAGCATAAATGCTATTTAAAGTTTAGTGAGAGTTCTGAAACCTACTTACCGCACATATAACGCTTTTCCGGCTAAACCTTCATTTATTCAACTTTTTATATCCTAGTTTATTCATTATAATATGAAGTGAATTTAAAAATTATATCATAAAAAGATTCGAAATTACTGACGATATCAGTTAAAAAAAAAGGTAGTTTATTTTTAAATATTTAATAATTTCTTATAACGGGTTGAAGTTGAAATACTTGAAATTTTCGAAAAAAATCGCTTATTTTGTAAGGGAAAAAGAGTACCAATTAAAAATTCTAAGCTTTTTCAATTAAAAGCTTATATAAATCTTAAAAAAAATGTTTAAAAATAAAGTGTATATATTTTTCATATTTCAATATATTCGAATTATTGATTTTAAGAGTTTTAACTCAATATATGATTAACTAAAATGGTGATATTATATTTTAGTTTATATGAGAAAATATAAATTTTATAGTACTTATATTATAAAACATTATAGTATACGATAAGTAGGTTTTAGGATTCTTATATATTAATCTAGATTACTTTATTTTTTAAACATTACTATTCTAGTTTTAATATAAGATAACGATATCCTAGTCATAATTTTATTAAGAAAAATTATCTTACTTTCGAAATTTTTCGAAATTTTTCAAAAGGGGATTCGAAACTTCAACAAGATTGTTTTTTCTTCCTCTTTCAAGTAAATTTAAACAACGTTGATATTCTATTTTTAGTCTTGGTTTTTTCTAGATTTCCTAAGAAGGTTTAACATTTTGAAATTCTTAATTTACTAATGTTTTATGGAAAAAGAAAAGACTTTAAAACGATATTATAATATTGAAAAAGGAAAGACCTGAATATCAAAAACGATATTTGACGTTGTGTTAGTTGTGAACTCTGATGTTTAAGGTACTAACATATAGAATATCGATCTATGAGATCACTACTGTGACTTTCATTAGCTTTAGACTTTGCTAGCAACGGATGTACTTGCCACAGGAACGTTGCATTATAGTCTTTTTTAGCTTTGAAGTCAGCTAGATTAAGATGACAGTTCTAGCCGCGGTCCTCTTACTAGGTGAATTGAGCATCGAATCGCTGATTCGCTGCACCCTAACGCACTTATCCGTAAGCTATCTATCTGTCTATCGCCTTACTGCCCAAAGCATCTGGAGCCCTGAGTTAGCGTAACTATGGCTGCTGAATGTTTGTATCCGGTCACGGAAAGCATATGTCTTCGGCAGCGTGATGGAGTCAACAAAACAGCCTCCGCATTTAACCTCACCTCGTGGAAAAGTCTAAGAAGCAACAATATTTAAACCTGCTTCTGCCCGCCCTTTCTATAATTCTCTCAGACTCAGACAACTGATAATTCACATATTATCAAAGTCCTTACACTTTCATCTTTCACTCAACATCAAGATACCTAAATCCATCATGCAGATGCTCAAGATCACCGCCATTTTGGCTTTCGCTGCCACATTTGCTGCCGCCGCCCCTGCTACAAAGCTCAACGCTGTTGCAAAGCGCCAGACTACTGAGTTCGGTCCATACCCAGAGGATGACTACAACACCAAGCGCCAGACTACTGAGTTCGGTCCTTATCCCGAGGATGATTACAACACCAAGCGCCAAACCACCGAGTTTGGTCCTTACTCAGAGGACGACTACAACACCAAGCGTCAAACCACCGAGTTTGGCCCATACCCCGAAGATGACTACAACACCAAACGCCAGACTACTGAGTTCGGTCCTTATCCCGAAGATGATTACAACACCAAGCGCCAGACTACTGAGTTTGGCCCATACCCCGAAGATGACTACAACACCAAGCGCCAGACTACTGAGTTCGGCCCATACCCCGAAGATGACTACAACAACAAGAACTAATGTAAGAAATTTATGCGCTTTCGTCTTCTCAAAAATGAACTTCAAGACTAACGTTTTGAAACCCGTAGTCTCCTACGTCTAAGCTGAAAATGCCCGTCAAATATAAGTGGCATTCACATCTAGTACTTAATGCTTCTCTACTGATGCTTGTGTTTCACCACTGGATAGACTGCGCAACGGGTACCCGTGGGGCGGATAATAATCTTGACAGATAATCCGCAGATAATCCGTCTGTAAAGCAGATAATTTAGAATCTAAATAAATAACCTGTAAAACAAATAAAAATTATTTATAAATATTTATTTATTTGTATATTATATAATTATTTATAATCTTTTATAATATTAATATAATTTTATAATTAATATAAAAAGTAATATAAATCTAAGCTTGGATTACTTTTGGACTGGAAAATAATTTGAAAATAGCTTTATATTTTAAGCGAAAAAAGTAGAGAATCTATATATCCACAAATTATTTATAAATAATCTGTAAATTATTTGTAAATAACTTATATATTTGTGAATAATTTATTTATTTATAGGTAAATAGATTATTTATATAAAATAGGTAATTTTAAAGTCTCAATAGATAATTCATAATGTAAGTAGAACCTCTAATAGATAACCTATAGAGCGGATTATTCGTAGATAATCCATAGGTACAGATAATTTGTGCGCAGCCTACTACTAGATCTACTCTCGACATGGAGCTGTCTCTATATCAGGGATATCTTAATACTCGTACCTAGAAACAATTGATGAATACAACTTATTTCTCTTACTTGGCCTATATTTCTTATCAGAGCGATTTTGAATGTGATATAAGTCTTTACTGAGTACTTTGAAGATTGAAAGTGGTGATAGCTAGTGTGAATTATAATCAAAGTCAAGTGAATCAGATTGATCCGACGCCTCTCAGCTCTTGAGAGCTACAAATCCACCTTGAGACAGCTCTAGAACACGTGCTGTGCTGTTAAAGAAGCTTAGATTCTCACATGACATGAATGCCCCTCTTATTCTTAGCTACTATATACTCAAGCGCTTCTTACTAGAGTATACCTGTGTTTATTACAAGTCGGGCGAAGAAATAAATGTATCTAACGCTATTTGAAGCCTCTTTAAGATAGTAAAAAGATTTGAAAAAAATCTAATAATTAGGTATTTATAAGAGTACTTTCGAGGTTATAGAGATTATTAAGCCTTATATCAGCTTTATCTCTATAACTATCAATTTTTTTAGTTTCTTTTTAAAAACAATCTTTATATAGATTCAAGCTTAAAACTTTCAAAAATTCAATTAGTTTCTTTCTATTATTGATAGTTGAAAAGTTATTAAAGACTTAAAAAGGATTTTAAATTCATATATAATTTCTATATAAACTGAAAAATCGAGAAATTTAAAATTTTAATATATTATTAATATCAATCTAAAGATTTAGTCTATTAAATTTCATAAAATTATATTCAGTTTTAATAGAGTTATTAATAGGTTAAAAAAGTAAGTTTTGATGTAAAGGAATGATTTAAAACAGGAGTAGTTAGAAAATGAGAAGTTTAACTTTTCTATAGTCACGAACGATAGAGCGGCACTCAGCGCTTGTTTCTCGGCCCCGCGGCTAATATTTCACTATAGATCGTAACTTTTTATCGCATGTCGTATAATCGTTTAATCGCTTTTAAAACTAAGTAAATAATTGGTCCACTAAATTATTCACGTAAGAATTGAATGAAAAGTAAATAAAACTAACAAAATTATAAACATTAATACGAATAATAAACTATTAGTATTGATTGTTGTTAGGAAGGTAGTTGACTAAGCATATAATGATATTTTAGCGCTCTCCTCTTTCATTACACTTTCAATCAATTGATTCCATGAACCTTTCTCTGGTGATTCAATAGCTCAACAATTTTATTAGCCCACAGAGTTGATATGTTACATAAATTTGTTGGCCCAAATGATCTAGTGATGCGATTTGTGGCCGCCTGTAATGATTCCAGATATTCGGTTGAAGCTCAAATCAATGGCTCGGATCGACTTGCCGGATAAGGTTATTCAATATGAAATTGTTCCAAGGTTTCAGCTAAAAAATGAGAAGAATGCAAATCAATTTTTTGTAAAGGACCCAAGAGGGAAAACGCAAATTGTTCAATCGAACCCTCCATAACAATACTCGACCTCAAAAGTCTATGCGATATGCTTGGCATCCTTCCAGATGCTAGAATCCTGTTTTTTTTTTGCTGGAAGACGGCTTGTAAGTTTGAGTGACTTACTGCTCTCGCAGTCCTGACATCCGGTCAACCTAGTCGTGACGGGTTGCATCTTGTAGATGGGAATTACGGTCCAATAGAATCCGATGAAGAGAACGCTTTGCTATTAGAAGGATCGGAATCGGAAGACAGAGAGAATCGTGGAATCGCGGAATCGTGTTTCAGTATCTGCGGCTCTGGGAATTTGACACAACTTTTTCTTTGTGTGATCATGAAGTTGTAGAATTTTCCTATTTGTTTCTGTTGATTGTTCTAAGCCTTTACAGAAAATGAGTTGAGGTACTCAATGAGAGAGTCGTTCTGTGAGATAAAAAAAAAATCACCCCTCCCTACATCAACCCAAGCCACGGATACCTTCACCATGACTTCCTCACCACTCAAAGTCGGATTAAAATCGACTGTTGATGGTTTTCCAGGCGATTTTCAAACGATTGCCATAAACAATAACACTGGTGGCAGAATGGAGATCTCTTTCCATCGAACGATTCGGATCCCGGATGACGGCAAGAACTACCAGCTTCCCCCCGACCTCGGAAAATTACCTATATTCTCAATAGATGATTATGCAGAGAAGCTACCTGTCGATATCGTTAGGAAGGGAGGTGTATTTGTTCCTATTTGGCGCAAGTCTAAGAATTTTCGCACCCATGTATGGTTGCTATACTGACGCACGGATTAGAGCATGAGGCTCTGTGGATCAGATTTCATGCCTACGGGACTTCGCGATTTGCAGTCAAAGTCTTTGTTGGTGGAATTAATGCTGTGTCAGAAGAGAGCAAACATTGTGAGATGGTACCTGTGGAGCCCATAGCTGGATCAGACGGAAAGCAAGATTATCTTGTGGTGCCAGGACAGGAATGGCTTGACGGCATTGTCGGAACTAATGGGACAGTCATGCAATTTGTCGTAGTGCCTACTAGGTCAGGATACTCCGTTGAAGCACAGATCACGGGTGTTGACAAAATTGTTGGTCTTCAGTTCGAAATCATTCCATTTCGCGTATTGCCTCACTTTGATGGCATGATAATCATCAAAACTCTGTGGGGTAAGAGTTTCCCTGTGCATGTGAGCTCCGACATGACTATTGCAACACCCTAGGATCGTATGCAGGGCAAAAAAGGCATACCGCTAGATCAGCAGCGTCTCATATTCATGGGAAGAAGCTTGAAGAATACCGTTAGTTTGACTCAATTAAAACATTCACATGTATATGGACTGACAAATCATTTGCAGACACTTACGAGATATTAGTGTAAAAGAGGTCAATAATATATCATGGGCTTCACAATATCTATTCTGATTTGATTCTTAGGGAATGACTGTATTTTAAGTTCTCAGGCTGCGTGGAGGTTTCGATTCTTCAAATTTGTCCCCTTGGGAGAAAAAGTAGCTGCAAAATAGAATGAAGAGAGACGCCAAAAAGATGGAAAAAGAAGAATACGACGAAAATTATGAGCTGGAATTGGCCCCCGGTGGTTCTATTCATCAAGCAATACGAAGAGACTACTTCCACAAAGACAGATATGACGAAAAGAATGCAGTCATGCTCAACGTACAATTCCTTGCCCCCAAAACATTCCACTTAGTCACTGGTACACCACCTCCTCAGGCCCCAGGTTCTGCCGAAACCGACGCTAGACACGGACATCCATTCTTTGAGATGTACAACGAGCCAAAAGCCAAAACGGGTACTTTCGGAGACCTTCTGAAAAGGATGGGGAATGTCGACAAGGAAAAGAATGTTAATTTGGAAGTCCATCAACGAGAGAACGGTTTGCATTTCAGGAGTGTGAAGTTAACTACGGTGGATAAGATGTGCCGATTTTATACTGCATCGGCTGTCCGGAAGCTAAATGCGCAGAAATGATATGGGTGGGATGACTTAGACGAGTTCATTGCCGTGTGATTTTTAAGACTTGAGAGCATCGCAAAGTTTAAATAGACTGAATTTATGCAGCTTTGAATATCTATTCTTTTGAATGTGAAGTCCATAATAGTTCCTCAGAAAGACTCTTTCTGATATATGATCGACCATATTATTTCTGTACAAGTGATCAATGTAGTAATGTGTAATAATGCACACAGCCACACTGTAAGTAAAGATCTTTTTATCATCCTCCCTACACCACCAGTTGGTATACGGACTAGTGAACCACTATAAAACTGGACTTTCGAATTACCTTTGTTCTACTCATTCTTATATTATAAAATAGGTTTAATTATTCATTTGAACTAAAACAATCAAATCACAAGTTCTGATATCAAGCAATTGAAGAATGAATTTGTCAAAAGTTTCGATGGTTGTGAAGTGAGTGTCCTGTCTCTATATGAGAGAAAAAACAGGCCGGAATCGCCCACGGGTTAATTCCTTCAATAACCCAAATGTTTCATTCAAATTTAGACAATTAAATGTTGAAATAATTTTTATACTTAAAGGTTATTTATGGGATTGCTTATTGTTATAAACTTTCAAGATTTTATTATTAGTTGATTAGTCATAGAATTTAATAGAGCCATTGATTTTGGCCTTTTTTTTCTCCTATGAATAGCCTGTCAATCCACACACCCACTGGTGCGCCCAACGAACAGATATGTCATTAGTTCAAACTATGCAACTAGAACAGTAGTTAGCATAGCGATCCTGGATGCCATGTGTTTATAGCCAGGCTATACCCCTAAGGACACAAAATCCGTTTTTATTATGCCTATTCAGGCTAGCGCCTTCCCCATCCACAGGAAAACTCGATCACAGGATCGGGAGGCATCAAGCCGGTGGCCAAGGGCCATCTCAATTGCCTATAGAAGGGAAATTAGGAATGTGAGAGAATCATTACTGACAAAGTTTGACATTAGACTACCGAAAAAGTTATTATGACCTAGTCGCTAAGACTTTAAGTCTATTATGAATTTACAGCAGTGAACTGATGGAAACGAGTAGTTTCAAAGTAGAAATTCTTTATCAATCACATCTTTTCGATGTATGGCATTATCTAAGAAATTATTTTGTGGCTGGGATTTCTGCTATTCAGACACTCCGAGCCCGTATGCGTTGAGAGCTTCTAAGTTGTCCATTGCCCCACAAAATTAGAGTTGTACCGATGTTTCGCTTATAAATTTAGGGGAAGACAGACTAGAGATTCCTTAGCACATGGTACTCCAAACGTCATTTCTACACCTACAGTAAAGAACTTGTGCGCTGCACTAATGATACTTCTGAGCTAGTTCTACGAGTTATCTTAGCTTGCTCATCATTATCTATGTCATGAAATACCATACTAAAAGAAATTCTCGCACAAATCTTTTGTCTGAATATAATTCTCAAGGACTGCAGAGTTTCTAGTACGGAAAAGTACTTACGACAACTTATCGACAGATTCAACGTCTCACCAAAATACCAAGATGCCTCAAAAATTAGCTGTTCAAAACCTGCCCTTTGGGGCCGATGAATCCTCAGCGCCCGCTCACCAACAGGCGGAAGAGATTATTCACAGATGCGTCGGATACCGCCCCGGAAACAAACGCGGCGGCAGCAATGCTGAGGAAATTACTCCAGATTCAAAGTTTCGTGACGATCCTCTGCCCTTGAAGTTAATTTCAGGGATGGCTGACGTACAAATCACCGGGCCACAACGGCAAATATTGAATGGACATGGATCGGAACATTACGCTGCACAGAGTCGTAAGGAAGAAATAGAGAACTGGATTTCATATGTGCAAAGCGAAAGCGAAAATTTTACCAAGTACGAGTATAATATGAACAAGGATACCAACAATGGAGATACTCCTCTCAATGGGTATACGGTCAACGCGAGCCTACCCAGCCCTGCAGAGCACTTCGAAACTAAGGAAGAAGTCGATCTGAGAATTCAAGCTGTCATTGACTTCATATTCCACGCCATTGACCCTCTTGCATTCTTAGCAAAATACGCTTCCGACCTCAATATTGACGAGAGCTATAAGGAGGAAATCGATAGTGATAAGAATTAAGATTCACTAGAGCAAATCTCTTAAAAGTGACGATTCTGTCGTGTGTGAACTTTCATCTGCCAAGAGTTTCGAGATGGAACAACACCACATAATTGCATGCGGATCATCTTTTTCGAATTGGGGTAGCAAATGTGGATACAAGGACCTAAGACACCTCAGAAATTCTCGGAATTCTAATTGAAGCACGCCTCTTGGCCATCAAATTCTCTCGCCTGTAAGTCATATTCACTATCTGGTGATCCATTCCAAGTCCTCCCTCCACCGCCTGGCAGAATATCTCAGAAGTTTTGTTGCATATCTGCTTCAGGCTATGGAAGCCTAGAGATGCCTATGCCAGACAGTCTTTAGGTCCCATCTGAATTCGGAATTAATTCATACTTAGTCATTGCTTGTCAAGAATATGAGGCCGTAATCTCCCATTCTGAAAATGGCAATGATACTCCGCAAAATCTCCCCCACCTAGCGACGAAAAAAGATACCCGGGCAGGTCGATTGCATTATAAGAACGACTGGTGTAGAAGGCTAAAGATTTACCAAGATTTCAACCGAGTCAAGAGCCTATCCTGAAGCTTTGTTGGCGTCTACCGAAGCGACTTGCATAAGCAACGCCATTGGAAGCTTGGGCTCTGTATTGAGGGTCTTGATGCCCTTGCTTGATAAGGTGCCATTATCTTGAGATATTTGAGAAACACAATAACAATAATGAGGGTTTTGTCTGGAGAACCCCGGGCACGAAGGAGATATCTTGATGGATTTTTGGTCTGGAGATCCAGCGTGAATGGTGATGTGTTCAACAATACATCGAGAAGTATCAAGTCGTGTCTTCTTATAATTCAGGAACAACTTATGGCGAATATGAGAATTTTATGATTTTTTATTGACTATAGACCATTCAAACAATGAGATGTCGTTGATGGTGGGGTAGAGAGTGCAACCACATCGGCAAAAAAGGTCATGACTCAGCATACTTCATAACCACCAGTGGGTGCATAGACTCACGGGACAATATGGTAAAAAAGCATAATTTCATATTCAAATTTATTAATTTCAAAATTCAATTAAAATTCAGAAGTTCATTTAATTTTATTTAAATTAAAACATATAATTTTTAAGTATAAGAATTATATAGAATTCAAAATTCGAATTTCAAAAAGAAATATTGAACTTCAAAATTCAGTAGTATATTTTTCTATTAAAATGTTTAATAGGAAATTATATAATGGATTATATAAACTTTAATATTTATTATAATAATATAAGATTTTTATTAACGTAACTTATGATGAACCGGGTCATATAAGGAACCGGGTTATAAAATTCAATTCTCTTTATATAATCTTGTTCTACAAGCTATATATTTATTCAATTCCAATTCTAAATCATTTGAATTACTCTTTGGCTCTTCTTCTTTAATTTTCTTTTCTAATTCTTTAATTAGATGTTTACATAGTCATCCTTATGGCTTTTTCTCCTTAGGTTTTTCCTTTATCTTATATACCATTTTCAGTACTTCTTTATTATTAAAGACAAATTGATCTTATAATTTGATTCTTTTGCTTTTAGTTTTTTTCTTTCAAATCTTAATTACCTCTTAAGCATTAGCGAACTATTTTCGAAGTAGGACTATCTTAGTATTTTGAGATTCTACAAGTCTAGTCATTTTCTTAGTATATCGACAAATTAATAATACAAGAGAATCATTATCTACTAGAACTTTATTAAAGGTTTGATTTACTTGTCTTAATTTTGTCCTATTTGGAGAAGAGCTTCTAAGTATAGATAAGTCTAGATCTTGATTGGAGATTCTCATTTGTAAAATGGAAGGTTGTTGGAAGGAGTTAAATAGTAATGAATCGAGTACTTTTTGTAGGGCAAAAGGTACTAAATCAGCTCCTCTCCAGTCAGCTTTAATATTAAAAGAATTTAATACTTTTTTTCTAATATTTTAAAAGAATTCTATCCATTCAACTCTTTGGATTCGTTTTACATTAGTTCAAGAATATCGATCGACTTTTAAAATATGATATCGTTTCATTAGCCTATATACTACAATATCAAATGATTGAAGTAAATAGAAGTAATAAGGAGGTAATATAAGTAAATCGATATCCTTCTCTATATAAAAAGTAATAAAGCTGTTTATAATATAACTTAAATAATCATTTATAATTAAAAATCAAGGTTGGTTATCTAACACTTTCTTGGATTTTAATTCGAAAATCCTTTTTAGTCATTCTAATCCATAACTGTTTAAGATCTATTCATTTGTATTAGTAAAGAATTATTAGCTTTGAGATATATTCTTTAGAATCCATACAAAATTTGTATTCTGAGCCTTAAAAATGATTATAGGTGATAGAGTCTTTTCAGTTGTATTAATATATTCAAATATAATTATCTATTCTTACTTATCAATTATAACTTTTCAATTCGATTTCTAAGTAGAATTAATTATAATATGTATACTTTAAATACTTTCAATTTTAAATCCAATTTCATCTATATTATATATATTATCTAGTTTATACTTTTGTTTAATAAGATGAATACAAAACATATCAAATCAAACCTGAATATTCTTTAGTGTTGCCTTTTTAGTCTGATTAGATTCTAATTGATATAAGTAGTATATCTTAAGTTCTAAATGTCGTTTTTGGAATCTATAGATTCATTTGTAGTTTATAAATGAAATTTCTGTTGAGGTAGGAATTCGAAATGATATGATCTAAATGTGTCGAAGACGAATTTCGTTGGTCATTTTCTTTATTAATATAGGTGTAGTAGGGAATCTAGTAATAATAAGTTGTGAAATCTATTGTACAAAAGTATTTTCTTCTATGTTTGAAAGAATTTGAACTATTTCGTGGGATTGAATATGTGATTTCCTTCTAGCGATCCTAACTATAAAAATTGATTTAGAAACTTCAAAATATTCTGCAGCCTTTTTAATTGATTTAAATTCCTTTAATTGAAATACAATAATAATATTTTGTATTTTCTCTTCAATTTGAAAAGATATAAGAAATGATTCGGTATACATAGCAAAATTTGTTAGGGTTTGAAGTCAATGATGGGCTAAATATGACCCGGTTCCCCATATGATCCGGTTCATTATAAGTTACATTATATAATTAATTATTAAAAAAATTATAAAAATTAAATAACATAGTTTATTAATAAATATACTATATCAATGTGTATACTACTTTTACTTTAATTTACACTTTCAAACTTATATTATTCAACAATAATTGAATCAATTAATTAAAACTATTCAGAATCTAATAATCTAGGATTTATTATATTATTTTGATAGGTTCTTATATTATAATTTATCTTTTCGTATTTACTATAATATTAAATAGAAAATGCTTTCCTATTAGATTTATTCTCTTTTTGATATTTATTATATTAAATCTGAATATTAATCTTTTGTTAAGATAATATTTCAAAAGATTTTTGTCTAATAAGCATTCCTTCTTAATATAATTAAGTTCTTTTTTATGTATTAATATTTATTTAATATCTTATTTATTATTTAAAGTGTATAAATCTTTATATTCAAAAGTGTGTTTTTATAAGCTAATTGCTTTATACCTTTAGCTAGAATTAATATAATTTTAAATATAAATATAGGTGAATTTAATTGATAACAAGTTATTCGAGATTTAATTAATATTAATTGAAAAAGAGTTTCAGTTGAGTTATAAGGGATTTGAAAAATCTATTAATCTAAATTGAAAGAGGGAATGGTAGGTATACGAATTCGAATATTTAATTTCGAGAATATAGCTTTAAAATTAAATAGAATTAAATCTATTCTTTGGAATCTTGATTTCATATTTTAGAAAATAATTGATTTCTTGTATGTAATTTTAAAAGTTATAAAGAACTCAATCTTTAAAATATAATTAATATATGTTTTAATAAATTCATCAATTTAATTACTATATAAATGTTTTAGATTACTAAAATAATTAATATTAAATAGTTAAGTTAAATAATTTAAATATAATAATAAATATAAATATATAATATTATTCTCTTTATAATATATTTAAAAAGCTATTAATTTATAATTTTCATGTCTATTTAGTATTAACATTCGATATTTGCTCTTTCTTTAATTCTTAATATACTTATCGAAATGTTTCAATTATTCTAAATCTATTTTGTTATTTGTTTATTTATTAAATGTAGGTTTAATAATCTAATTTATAAAAAGATTGGTTTCGATATATTAATTAGAAAAATAAATCTATTTTTAAACTATTAGAAATAAGAGAATAGTTTCACTCTCTTTATTTCCGTATATTATTACTATAGCTTATTTTCGATTACCTGATTGTACTAATTTACTTTTACTATATTTCTTAGTATTAATAACAATTATTATTATATATATAATTCCTATTATAAAGTCTATTTCATTGAAATTATAGAAATCTCTATTCAAAATGTTATATTTCGCTTATATATTCGTAATTAATCGAAACCACTCTTTAAAAAGCTTAGGATTCTTATAAAAAGCTTTTTGAAAGTTATAAACACAATTAAAACACATCTTTAATTCTTTATATCGTTTTACAAATCAATACACCTAAAGCTTTCTAATAGCTTTTCCTTCTTTCAATTCGAGAATATAATTCGTTATATCTTTTACCTTTTTAATTTTAAAAGGAAAATCTCTTGAATTTATATCAAGAATATATAAAATAATCACTTACTTTTTTACTTTAATAAGTTTCAAATTCTATAATTGAAATTCAATTATAGGAGTTGTTTTATTCATTCTTCAAATAAGTATTATATATATAATATTATATAACTTAACAGCCTTTCAAATCAAAAGTTTTTTGTTTTTTTAATAGCTTTAATAACTAAAAGTATTCTTTCTTCTTTATTATTCAATTATATAATAAATGATTAATAAATTATATGTTGAAATTGAAGAGTATAAATTGAGGTAAAAGTAATATATATACTATTAGAAGTTGTGG